AATCTAAGCCCTCGATATTTCACGTATTTATATTTGTAAGTTATTGGAAGATTTCTGCTGTGTTTTGGCAACAACCTGTCTACAGTAAAAAATTATATAATTTGTGTTTGAAAAGTGTGTTAAAACCAAAAACTAATCAATTAACTTACATGATCTCGGTTTCGATATTAAATAATCAATGATTGTTTATACCCTCATTTTGGCACATTGGTTTGTTGAATGTGCCATCTAATAAATAATGTCGTCGTGCTCCTTAGCAGCTTTTAAATGATTTCACAAATTGCTGGCGGAGACATGAATACAGTGTAAGAAAATTCCTTTTCTATAATTGTTTCCTTATAGAAAGGTTGGTTTTTTTCCGCCTTAGACATTCCGAATTCGTTCAAAATATGCTAATTTAAAACACAGAATTCTTTCAGTGTTTCTCCGGGGTTTTTGGACACGGACTGTTTCTTCAATTAAGTAGTGCTCGCTTTATTTTTGTGGAAACGAAACATGTTTTGCAAGTTCTGGATCATTTCTACACTCTTTCTTCAAATATTCCTCGAATGTTTTTACTATATTCGTAATTTTAAATTTCTTAATAAAATCAATTGGTGGTAGTTCATGATTGTGTGTGGATTAATAGCACCACACTGAGGATTTGGCAATAACCTTTTTCATCTATTAAAAAACAACACTTACGGGGCAATGTTTATTGTAAGAACATTTTTTTCTATGAATCGACATACTTTAAGCATTGTTGACGCTATTTCCATTTGAATGAGGAAATAGCGTCAATGTCTTTATTTCCAAATTTTTGTTGACTTTATTTCGCTTTTGAAAAGGTAATAATGTCAATAGACTTTATTTCGCACCAGGGTGGGAAATAAAGTTAATTTACCTTATTTCCGTTGATCTTGTTACCTGTCACCGAATTTTATTGTTTTATCGTTTTTTTTTTTATGAAATGCATGCACGTACACGGAAAATTGTAAACAAACTTCTTCTTTCTCTTTTGTAAGCGTACGTACGCCTAGCTACCAACACTGCTGTACGACAAGCGATTTGTAGCTAGCTTGCTTTGACGATTTCGTGAAGCCCTCCATTTAAATGCACGTGTGCGGCATCAAAGCGTACAACTTTCGTACGTAGCATCTAATACGCGTCTAAAGCTATACGACCCGTGTGCAGACTGCCTTACTCTACCCTCAATTAGTAACTCATTTACTCAACGCCTTCCGCCGGTAATCGCGTCTAATACTAGGAGACTGGTTGTGGTTACCCCAAAGAAGTCTATATTTGTCTCTAGATTTTCGAGGGATACTTCCGAAGAGGATATAGTTTTACATCTCGTCCAAAATTAAAACTGTCAACTTAATATTTCTTCATTTAAAGTTGACGTAAGTTTAGAAAATTTTGACATGCTGCTTAGTAGTTATTATGGCCCTCTGGAGCTTTCGTTCGTGAATTCGAGTATAGGCCCAACAAAAAGAATAATTTAGCAAATATTCCCCGTCAGAATACTGAATCAAAAAACTGATTACTAAATCTGCTTTATGTATTTATTATCAAAACGTGAGAGGCTTAAATACTAAATTAAAGAGCTTATGTATATCTTAAGGGCCTTGCATGCAACTATAATATAATTTCTTTCACTGAAACTTGGCTCAACCCTCACATTTTCAATTCAGAGATTCTTTCAAATGATTATCATATCCATAAAAAAGATCGAGAGGACAGAATCGGCGGTGGCATACTCTTCGCCGTAGACTCTTCAATACCACCTGAAGAAGTTAGTCTTCCATACATTGAATCTGCAGAATTCAAATGCATTCCCCGATCTGACTTATCGGTGTATTCGCAATATGTCTCTTTACTGAAATCAGTTAATTTAATGATTAAACCCTGTGATTCAATGATTGTGTAGGGCGACTTTAATTTACCAAATATATCATGGAATATCCTTGACAATGATATCGTACCTTTCTCGTCTAGTGCGTGTAACAACGTATTTTTAGAGGAGATGGCTGACTTCCGCCTAAATCAACTTCGCAATAACTTTGGCCAAGTATTAGATCTTGTTTATGTTGATGATGCATCTAAGTCCGCTGTAAATAAGTGTGACCCACTAGTTTTGCCCGGAGATGTCTACCACCCTGCTATTGAGACATCTTACGAAATTATAAACGATGGTCAAAATTTCGGTATCCAAACATACGAACCAAATATTCGCTTTTATTTTTCGAAAGCGAACTTTAAAAAAACTGATTAAAGAATTGTCTAAACTGTCGTGGCTTGTATACAAAGAAAAAGTTGAGCAAACCGTTGCACATTTTAATTTTACCGTATTTTTACGTTTCGGGTATTAATGAGACACAGAGTTTTTGTTTAGTATACTTTTAGTATGTATCATGAGTTTATTTACAATAATATTCGTAGTTCACTAACTGTATTAAATATATTAACAAGGGTTGTTATGATGTATATGTGACGCGTTTGCTTTGACGGCTGATGAGCGAGTGATTTAGCCTTGCTTATAAAGCTAACGTTTTAGCTGTCTGTTGCTGCTTGCCAGTATTGCCACTTCAATCGAAATTTTCCCAAGGGAAATGCTAGCCCGAGTACATAAGCTCATGTCTTCAATATGGCGCCCCGCCTGTGCCAGCTGCAGCGCTTCTGGTTGGTTTTAGGGACCCACTGCTTCTTCGAGTGTGGACATCTTGCCTTTCTATCTGGAAGTATATAAATGAAGACTAAAAGAGGAATTTTAGTATTCGTTAAATAAAAAGGCGTAGTTGAATGCAGGAGGTGTGATAAAGAGAGTGGATTCACATGTGAAGGTGGACGCTTCTGGTCGCCAAATGCGTAGCGTGAGAGTATTACCAAGATAGCGAGTTAAGGGACTGGACACGGCTAAGTACATATATAATTTGAGATGACTAAGATGAACATTCTGGTTATTCGATCAAATGAGTACTCATAGTGTTCTGAGCATATGCATATATGTAGATACGTATATGTGCAACGCCACTTTGTAGGTTTAGGATGTGATATCATTTTATATTTGGGTTTTGTTAAAGTTAAGGGACTGTTAAGGGCTGCCTAAAGCTCATATACATCACTAGTGCTGAACGTTGCATAGCGTACGTGCCTGTAGTTTTGTGCCCTAACTTCCTTATGCACTTCTTCGGCGAGGTACGAAATAGTGGTGACGTTGGTGATGACACGTAATTCTATTTTTCGGCAGCTGTTGGTTATTTAATTTACAGTGATCATACACAGAGAAACTTGCAAAAGATAATTTATATTTTGGGAGAGGTGATATCAATGAGTATGCCTTCTGAGTGTTGCTGGTAGGGTCCGCGATTGAAACAGGTTCGAATACTTCTTGCAGAGTGGCATGAAGTTTCCGTTGATGAGGTCGAGAATTGGGTATGACTTTTGTAAACAGAATGGAGGCAGAATGCCTTACCAAACGCTTAGCAGTCCTTGTGCTGTGATAGAAATACGGTAAGAAAGCTGTACTTATTTCAACGTCTGATATTTTCTGCTCATAATAGTGGGGTTGCTTTTGGAAACTCCCTTGATGAAATCTATGGTGGACGTATGGGGTAGCGTTTAATTTATTCAGTTTCTTAGTACCGAAATTTTATCGGGTGATTGAAAACTGTGGAGTGTTAAAGGGCAAACACGGCGGTCCGAGTGAGCACGAGACTGTTGCGCTCATTTCTTTTACATTTCCATCAGGTGGGTTAACTTTCTGTGTGGAGTTTGAGCTTGGACGTGGCTAGTAATTTATTTTTGAGAAGAGTGGGAATTCCGTCCTCTCGTAATGCACCCCTTCCTTCTAGAGGTAAGTGAGAAAATTGTTTGTCCTTTGTTAGCGATAGATTTGGGTTAGAAGGTTTCTGCGAGGAGCGATACTTGGAGGCTTTGTCCAACTATGATTCATAGAATCATAGTTGGATACTTTGATCTTAGTGGTCAGAGTAGATCTTTTGCCTTCTTCATTAAGATTGTTCTGGGGGGTAGAACATGAAGAAATCGAATTATTTATCTTGTCCTTAGAGGCGGACGATTCTGGGATGGAGTACTTTTGGAATTTTTTTGTGTTATAGGTAGATTCGCTCGTGACATTAGGGCTCAACATTTGCGCTGTGAGATTAGTTAAGGATTTCACGTTATTCCTATCAGGATTAGAGATTGTCCTTTTATCGTGGGATTATGGGAAGACGTTTATCGGAGAACAACGGGTTATCCAGCGCGATTTCGTCTTATTCCTCAAGGCGGCAGCTTTTGATGTTGCAGAACGATATGCGGTACGCGGCCTCTATTGGCAATTCATACCGCCTTATGCCCCTCACATAGGCGGTCTGTAGGAAGCCGCCGTAAAAAGTTTTAAACTTCACCAAAGTCACTGGAAACCACAAATTCAGTTTTGAGGAATTCACCACTCTCCTCATTCGGATCGAGGCAGTACTTTACTCGCGCCCTCTCTCCCCATGTCACAATACCCAAGCGACTTACTAGCCTTAACGCCGGGACATTTTCTCCGCGGCGCTCCCTTGGTTTCCCTACCCGAACCGAATGACGAAAATGTATCTCTCACTACAAAATGGGGAACATTGAAAGTTCTCCATCAGCAGCTCAGCTCACGTTGAAAACCGAGTACCTGCAAGAACTGCACAAGAGATACAAATGGAAACACCCGCAACTCAATATTAGCCAAGGAGATTTGGTGGTCATCCAAGACGATCTCTTGCCCCCAAATGATTGGCGCCTTGGCCGAGTCAGTAAACTCCATTTGGGTGCTGACCAAAATGTACGAGAAGTGGATGTTCGCATACAAGCCGGCATAGTCACTCGCAACGTCACGAAACTATACGTACTGCCCCCTTCGTAGTATATTCCTCCCTCGTTTTTAATGGCCTCCTAAAACGAACACACTGCCCCTAAATCTATAACCCCTGTTCACTGTACACTGATATGTGATTAAATTTTCAACTTTTTCTTCGTAGATGAACAGAAAAAACGATGGAACTAAATCAATGCCGCCTGTGCTGCCGCTATCACTCGCTGAGGGTTTGCCATACGAGCGGTACGAGTCGCGCGAGTGCACAAATAGTGCATCAACTGTTTGGCAACATCGCACATCACAGGTGCGTGCAACTGAGCAGACAGCTGCCATCAATGTGGGAAGGCGCACCATATGCTGTTGCACCGCTCTACGTCGCCGGTCCCTGAACGCAATCGCCGCGAGGATGGGCATATGTCAGTCCGCAGTGGACGAACCACACTCCCCAGTCGCGTGGTAAAGAAATCCAGGAAGCAGGGGTATGGCGACAGCCACCCCGTTCAACAGCGCATCCACAACCTTTTCAACAGGGCTGTGCTGATATTGCAAAAAGCTACAAGAGCTGCTTCACCTCGCACCGGTGCAGGCGGGCCGACATGTCGAGGACATCGAGTTCGATTAGATTGAATTTTCCTTTCTTTGTAAAATGCGTGCGACCGGCAACATCATTTTGCTATTGTGAATTTACATTTGAAAAATGCTTTGTAAGAGCAGAGAACTTAGATAGATAGAGAAGGTGCAAATTTTTGGAACGTAAAATTGTTTGGCTGAAAAATAAATCCATGGAAATCACCACAGCGCGATTAACATTTCAAGAAGAGTTAACAGAGAAAAATGTAAATTTCTGTTATGATAATGTTATATTTGTTGCAAGTGCCTGGCTATGTGTTGCTAGGTTGCAGGTGAATGCAGAAACGTATTCATGTACATTTTTTTTATAAAATTAAATAAATTAATATAGTTAAATTATATTAAATGTACTTTTATATTAGTTAGAATTGCTGATTTGCATTTCTGCATGACCATTTGTTAAATATAATTTATTCAGTAGTTAATGTTGCTAAAAACTTAAAAAGCATCTGTTCAAGTTCGCTTCTTGTACGAGTATTATATTATGTAAATAGTAAAAATGCATGTTAGTTAAAAAAAT